ATAAATATGTTAATGAGAACATCAATTACTTATTTAGGGGAGATTGTGAAACTTCTTAAGTTATACATAAATTAAAAAAAGATAAACTCTTAAACATCAAGGTGCCTTTTAGTGTAATAGTTTGAATTTCATTTAAGAAACTCTACAGTTAAGCTTACTCATCCCGAAGAAAACTTGGGATGGGTGACCTCCTGGAAAAGTACACCAACAGGATAAAATCGTGAGGCCCTTCGGCCAATGCGGACAATATCTCAATAGTTAAGAGTTTGAACTGTTATATTTACAACTTCAACTGCTAGTAGGAAAAAAAATTGAATATGCATTTCTACGAAGTCAAATTACCCAACTTATTAATTCGTGCACAAACATCGGGTCAAAAAATTAATGCTTCACGGTCAATAATTACGGCACCATTATTTTCTGTTAGCATTAAAGTTCTTGATTAAACAACATTAGCATTTGAAGATATGTCACTTTACTTGTTCTCCACAAAGCTTCTTGAGGATCCAATTAAGCGAGAAATTTTTATGATGATTTGTCATGATTGAAGAGTTCATTATCTTCATTTGGTACAATTTTCTTACTACTTCTTAAACAATTTTCTAGTAAAAAAATTAATTTTTTTATTAAAAAATTACTTAAGAAGCAATAAGATAGTCTGTCTCAAATAAAACCTGAATGTACCATTTTATTGATTCTCCGTTTAGCTTCTAATATGTTTCTTGAATTGAGATTCTGTTGTCGATCTTTCTCCTTCTAAAAGTTATTTTTTATGTTAACAAGAAATGATGACTCTATTATCCAACTTTTTTGGCTCATGGCTCCTGCTAAAGCAGTGGTTATACAGCATCTCAAAAGAATGTACATGTATACATATTTCCAATTGTTTGGCTCACAAAATCTGCTCACAGCTTGATTATGAAATAATCATTTGTTTAGGTTTCATTTGGGACGGTTTTCTTACTGTTTCTTAGAGCAGCTTTTTAGCGCAAAATTTTACAAAACTGCTCTAAGAAGCAGTAAGAAAACCGTCCCAAATGAAATCTTAGAATGAGAAACTATGCATTTCATATCTATTTATATTATGAGCATTCATAGAAATTTAGCTATAAGATGTAAAAATGTACTTAAATCATGCAAAAAAATTATATTCTAGTAATACATGAAATCATTACATGCCGCATGGTGAAACCTTAACAATTGTGTCTGCATCAACAAAATATAGAGCTTTGGCGTTTCAATGGAAAGTGATGGGCACATTCCTCTTTTTGGAAATGTAATTTTGCACCCCTTTAACAAGTTAAAATAACGATTGATCATATAATGCTGGAGTTTTGGCGTCTTGTTAAGAAGGAACAAATATTACATCCTCTGATCAGACCTAGAGCTACGTTCGGCCGTCAATAACATGTCGCTACGTGCTCTTACTATTTATCGCGCGGCCCGACGACTTGACCCGGACCGGAACCCAGGAATGCTATGTTCGCGTATTGCGAGGTATTATTCGGTATTTGCTCGGTATTGATTGGCAATAATGAGAAATACCGCTCTGTGAAGACCAGTACCGAGCAATATCGAATCGTACCGAGTTTTTCTAGAAAAACTTGGTACAACTCGGTATTGCTCGGTATTACTCGGTATTTGCTCGGTATTGTTCGGTATTTGCTCGATATTGGTTATTGCCGATCAAAATCGAACAATACCTAGCAATACCGAGCAATACCTAGCAAAATCGAGAAATACCGAGCAATCATGGGTCCGTTCCGGGTCGGGTTGTCGGGGCGCGCGGTAAATAATGAGAACGCGTGGCGCGATTCTACAGGCTGTTGAACGTAGAGCTACGTCCTGTGACCAGACCAAATAAAAGTTCGTTAAAAAGAGAGTGTTGGTAATGCTTTCATCTTAAACCCACTACTATAACTTCCACTAATACTCCGTTCCAACAAAAAAAAAAAAACTTAGTAGAAACTAACTTCAACATTTAATACAGTTCTGTAAACCTTTTGATTAATAACTGAATTCTTTTTTTTTTTAATATTTTTATGTTGTTGTCTGTAGCATCTCCCATTAGCAACAGGTTTTGTGGTTTGTTCTTCAGCTACGCTTGTCATGCTTTCATCTGAAACAAGCATTTTGCCAGTGTCTAGAAGAAGCTAAATTTCTATAAAGCTATGTCAGGCTTCTAAATACAATTTTCTTAAGATATTGAGATCCAAAACTTTTGATTTCCACCATGAGCAGGAATAAGATCCAGAAGAGATGCAGGAAGGTCGCATTTTTTTTTTTTATAATGAGGGTAGTAATGTAAATTATTCTTATACAGCTATAGTAATGCAGTTTTACAGCCATACTTCACAAACAAAAAATGCCACTTTTTGTTCAACAACTTCAAAAAGCTGTTTTCTCTACAACAAATTCACAACCAGCTTTACCGACAACTGTAGTCATCTCAAATGGAACCGAATTCTATTCTTCTTCCAAAAGCCACCACATCATACCATGATTCTCTTAAAATCAAACCTTATCATGTATTTCTCTATCTCCTCTGAAGGCCAAAATACAACGAAGATGAATCCCAGAGAAAGAAAGAATTCGAATGAGAGCTGATAAAAAATTAAAAACATGCTTAACATAGAGACTAAAGATTCAAAGAGGCGGTTGTCTTTCTCATCTTGGACAACAACAACAACAACAAAAAGTATTTATCCCACTCTGTAGGGTTCACTGCATGAAACTTTTTTCTCCATTATGTATTATTAAGAGTCTAATTATGATTTAAATCTAATAAAAAAAAGAAATATTTAATACTTTCTAACTAAGTCTTTACAATCACCTCTACCTTTCTTCAAATAGCCGGGTCTGATACATCTACTCTCCAAACAGGGTCATCAGATGGTCGACATTTTATGTGACCAACCCATCTAAGGAGACTATCTCTAATCTTATTTGTTTTTGGAATTACTCCAACCTTTCCGCGTATATATTCATTTCGTGTTTTGTTTATAAATGAAAATCCACTAATCCACCTGAGCATCCTCATCTCTATAACACTTAATTTTATACTTCTTTTTTAATGGTCAACATTCTACGCCATAAACCGTTGCACGTCTCACCCTCATCTTATAAATTTTTCTCTTAAATTTGAGCTATACTTTTTTATCACACAACAGGCCCAATATGTTCCTCCACTTCAACCATCTAAATTGAATTCTAATAATAATATCCCCATATATTTCACCATCGCTTTAAACAATAGATCCGAGATATATAAAACATACACTCTTTTTAATAATCTCATCACCCAATGTCACAATC